CTGGGATGGAGTTCCAGAGAGAGGTGCAGAATGATTGAGAGCTTGCACTATCGATGGTGAGGCAGGGAACATGATGCAGTGTTCACTAAAAGATTCCATGACATTGAGAGAAAGAGAAAAAGAGGGGAGTTTCTCCAAGAGTCCTGGTGAACAACCCTCCAGATTAATCAGTCTTAATCGTGATAATCAACATCTCCATTATTGTAGCATGCAACTACCAGGACCTTCCCTACAGAAGGCGAACAAGATGGACCTTTGTCTTTTTTCGTCTAGCAATTCCTATGTTCCTAAAACACTTTTTCTTGCCTCATTTCTGCTGGACCCTTCTCTACTCTCTAACTACCGCCCCATCTCCAACCCCTCCTTCCTTTCCAGGTCCTGGAACGAGTTGTTGCTTCTGTTGCTTCTTCCTCTCCCACCACTCCCTTCTCGAACCTCTCCAATCAGGCTTCTGTGCCGCCCACAGCACAGAAACTGCCCTGGTCAAAGTGACAAATGACATTCTGTCCATCTACGACCAGGTCTCACTCTGCTTCCTCGTCCTCCTTGACCTCTCTGCTGCTTTCCACACCATCGACCACTCTATCCTCATCCACCGCCTCTCCTCTCAACCTCAACAGCGCTGTCGTTGATTGGTTCAGATCGTACCTCTCACACCGTGTGAACTTCATCTCCTCAAATGGCTTCTCCTCTAGCCCCCGAACCAACTCGTCCGGTGTTCCTCAGGGCTCTGTCGTTGGTCCCTTTTTCTTCAACATCTGTATGCTCCCCCTTGGTGACATCATCCGCAGACATGGGGTCAACTTCCACATGAATGTGGATGACACCCAACTCTACCTCTCTGCCTCCACCCTTGACTCCAGGACCACTGCTGGATGAGAGCTAACTTTCTTCAGTTGAACATCAACAAGACCGAGGCTCTCCTGATTGGCTCCCGTCAGCACCTCCTCACCTCAGGCGCTGACAGTATCACTATCCATGGTTGCACACACAGCCTTGCTAAGCCAGTCCGGAACCTTGGGGTCTTGTTCTACCCTCAACTATCTTTTCCAACCCACATTCGCTCCATGAACCTCTCTGCCTTCCCCCACCTCCGCAAGGTCGCCCAGCTTCAACACTGTCTCACACTGCAGGCCGTCGAAACCCTCAGACACGCCTTCATTACATCGAGGCTCGGCTATGCAAATTCATTGCTTGTCGACCTCCCCAACTCCTCTCTCCACAAGGCTGCAGATCAGCCAGAACTCTGCAGCCCGTGTCCTCTCCCGCACTAGGCTCCGTGACCCTATCACCTCCATCCTTGCCCAACTCCACTGGCTTCCCATCACACAGAGGATACAGTTCAAGATCCTGGTCCTCACCTTCAAAGCCCTCCATGGTCTGGCTCCCCTCTGCCACTCCGACCTCCTAACCCCTTAATCATCCTGTTCACTCCCTCCGCTCAGCAGGTTCTAGCCTGCTTCACGCCCCCGCCTTGCTCGCCCCACTATTGGCGGGCGGGCCTTCCGCCACTCTGCACTCACCCTCTGGAACTCCATCCCGCAGTCCCTCCGTCTCGTCCCCTCCCTCGCCACCTTCAAGACCCACCTCAAGACCCCCCGACCCTCAGCTCAGATCCGTAACTCTGTCTGTCCAGTGCCTTGGGACATCCTCCCAACGTGAAAGACGCTAAATAAATGTAATGTTGTTGCTATTGTTGGTAAGCATGAGGTTACTCGGCAGACGTCTCAGAGTAGAGGAAGCAGAGCAGATAATAATAACAATAATAATTGTTGTATTTGATATAGAGCCTTATCACCTCATCAAGACATCAGCTTTGCAGGATATACTGTAAAGTGGTTTTCATTGTGTGTTTTGTGTGCAAGATGCACAACTCAATGAAATGAAGCAGAAAGGAGCAAAATATTCATTATTGAATTTACTCATTATATTACATTTATCCGATGATACTGAATTTGCTGCTATTGAGAGGAAAACTACAAAGGACGAGACAGACCTATGGTTTTCATAGAATTGTAGAATTACGCAGCACAGAAAGAGGCCATTTGGCCCGTCGTGTCTGTGCCAGCTCTTTGAAAAGAGTTACCCAAATCAATCCCTCTCCCCCCTCTCTCTCCCCATTGCCATTCAAACTTGTAATCCCCAAATACTGAAGTTCAATGTGGAGAAATGTGATATGATATATTTTGGGAGGAAGAAAACTTGTTCTGTCTTAAAAGTTGTTATCAAATCGGCTTCCATCACCCTTTCGGGTAATGCATTCCAGATCCAAACAACTTGCTGGGTGAAAAAAGTTCTCCTGACCTCCCCTCTGTTTCTTTTAACAACTATTTTAAATCTGTGTCCTCAGGTTACCGACCGACCCGCCAGTGGAAATAGTTTCTTCTTTTTCACCCTATCGAATCCCCTTATAATTTTGAAAACTTCTATTAAGTTTCCTCTTAAGCTTCTCTGCTCCAAAGAGAATAATCCTCGCTTCTCTCGCCTCTCCTGATAACTGAAGTCCCTCATTCCTGGTACCATCCTGGCAAATCTCCTTTGCCCCCTCTCCAATGCCTTGACATCCTTCCTAAAGTGTGGTGCCCAGAACTAAACAAATGACTGAGGCCTAGTTTTATAAAGGTTCATCATAACTTCCTGACATTTGTATTCTACGCTCCTATTTATAAAACCTAGTATCCTGTATGTTTTTTTAACAGCTTTATCTACCGGTTCTGCCACCTTTCAGATTAAGATATAAAATTTACTTATATGAACCCCCAGGTCTCTCTGTTCCTGTACACCCTTTAAGATTGTACCATCAGCCTATATTGCCTCTCCTCATTCTTCCTCCCAAAATGCATCACATTTCTCAACATTGAACTTCTTCTGCCATGTGTTGGCCCATTTTACCAGTCTTTCTATGTCCCCTTGCAGTCTGCTGCTATCCTCCTCACTGTTTACTGCTTTTCCTAGCTTAGTATCATCTACAAGCTTGAAAATTGTACTCCTTATACCCAAGTCCAGGTCATATATATAGATCAAAAACAGCAGTGGCCCAATACCGATCCCTTGGGGACACTCACTTCCTCCAGCCAGAAAAACAACTGTTCACCACCACTCTCTGCTTTCTGTCTCCCAGCCAGTTCTGTATCCATGCTGTCAATGTCCCTTTAATACCATGGGCTTCTATTTTGCTTACAAGTCTGTTTTGTGACACTTTATCAAATGCCTTTTGAAAATCCATATAAACTACATCAACTGCAACCTTCATCCACCCTCTCCGTTATTTCATCAAAAAACTCATCAGGTTTGTTAGACATGATTTGTCTTTAAGAAATCCGTGTTGGTTGTCTTTCATTAACCTATATTTTTGTAAGTGAATATTTATTTTGTTCTGGATTATAACCTCTAGAAGTTTCCCACGACGGACGTTAGGCTGACTGGCCTGTAAAAGAAAAATAGTTGATAATCAATAGTATTATGAAGCATGAAGAGACTTTCCCCCAAGATTGCTATGCAGTATTATGTGGTTAACCTCCATCAATACCCCAACACACCCTGTGGGGTCCCCAAGCCTTGGCTCTCACCAACCTGTGTCTAATTTTCTGTAGAATTAGGTAAACAGGGTATGTCCCTCCTGGGAAATTTCCACATGTTGGTGGCCTACATATGTGGAACCCTCAGTCTGATTTGAATGATCCTAATCCTGTTGATTGTTTTTTGTATGTGTCAGATACACGGCTGACCCAAAAATAGTCTTGTAAAAAGATTAAACAATTCAGTCTTACCACAGAGCCCATGAGGATGCTTATTTGTTGGGCACTTGGAACACTCTTTGTTCCTGGCCTACTCAGATCCGCTCCCTGATCTGTCCTCAGATACAATGAGGATTGTGTTGGAGCTACTTCCTGTTCTCGCAGTGAGCTAGAACAATTCACCAATTTCGCTTCCACCCCTCCATAACATTCACATGGTCCATCTCCAGATTATAGTCTCTAGACGTTAGGCTGACTGGCCTGTAGTTCCCGGGTTTATCCTTCTGCCCCTTTTTGTACAGGGGAGTAACATTTGCAACCCTTCAATCTTCTGGCACCACCCCCGGTGTCCAAGGAGGATTGAAAGATTGTGGTCAGAGCCTCCGTTATTTCCACCCTTACTTCCCTAAGTAACCTAGGATGCATCCCGTCCAGACCAGGTGATTTATCTACCTTGAGCACCATCAACCTTTTTAGTTTATTCTTATCCTATCCAATTTCTCTACCCTCTTCAATACTGGCATTGGCTGCATCCTCTTCTTTTGTGAAGAGAGATGTAAAGTACTCATTCAGTATGTCAGCTTTGCCCTTTGCCTCTACAAGAAAATTTCCTCTTTGGTCCCTAATTAGCCCCACCCTACCTTTGACTAATCTTTTATACTTTATATGCTTATAAAATACCTTAGGGTTCCCTTTTATCTTCAAGACCCTCCCTGTTTCCCCCCCCTGCCCTCCACCCTCACCGACCCTGACACCCAGCTTGGGTCTGAAACTATGTCTGTCCAGCGTCTTGGGACGTACTCCCGACATGAAAGGCGCTACACAAATGTAATTTTGTTGTTTTATGTTACCCGGTAATCTTTTTTCATACAATATCTTTGCCCCTCTTATTTCCTTTTTCAGTTCTCCTCTGTAGTTTCTATATTCTACTTGATTATCTTCTGTATTTTGGACCTGACATTTATCATAATAATAATAATAATCCTTGCATTTAATATAGCACTTTTCATGTCTTCTAGACGTCCCAAAGCGCTTCACAGAATATACTGTAAAGTGAATTGACTGTATATTTGTGGGCGAACACGGCAGCCAATTGTGCACAGCAGGGTCCCATAAACCTCCTTTCTGTTTAATTTTAATCCCAATTTTCTTAGTCATCCAGGGCAGTTTGGATGCCCTACCTTTCCGCTTTGTGGGAATGTATTTGTTCTATTTGTGGTTTTGTGTTGAGCTTAATTGGTATTTCACTTGGTTCTATCACAGGATCCAATGTACGGGAAAGGGAAACTGGGAGAAATCCAGGGCCTAATACTGGGAATGTTGGACACGTTCAATTATGAACAGGTGAGTAACAAGGAGCTTTTCTGAATGGTATTTTAACTCCTAAAAGAGGGGCGGTTATTGATGATGATATCATTTTATGCGCAGAATATTGAGGAGAAGAGAAGAATTTCTAAATTTTTTACTTTCTACCCCACATTCGTGCCATGACCCACTCTGCCTTCCTCCACCTCTGCAACATCGTCCGGCTCCACCACTGCCTCATCCCTCAAGCCGCCAAAACCCTCATGCATGCGTACATCACATTGAGGCTCTACTACACTAACTGTCGGCCTTCCCAACATCCCTCCACAACCTGCAGATCATCCAGAACTCTGCAGCTCATGTCTTCTGCCGCACCAGACTCTGTGACTCTATCACCGCCACCCTCGCCCAGCTCCACTGGCTCCCCATCCCCTAGAGGGTAGAGTTCAAAATCCTCGTCCTCACCTTCAAGGCCTTGCCTCTTTCTACCTCTGTGACCTGCTAATCCCATATCAACCTGTCCTCTTCCTTTGCTTAACAGGCTCTGGCCTGCTTCATGACCACCACCTGGCCCACCCCACCATCAGCGATCGGGCATTCAGCTTCTCTGCCCTCACCCTTTGGAACTCCATTCCACATTCACTTTGCCTCGCTCCCTCCCTTGCCTCCTTCAAGGCACATCTCAAGACTGTCCTCTTCGACCGCGTCTCCATGCCCTCCATCCTCCCTGATCCCAACCCACCCCTGCTCGGGTCCAAATTCCTGACTGTCCAGCGGTTTGGGATGTCCTCCCGATGTGAAAGGCCCTATACAAAAGTAATTTTGTATAGTATTGTATTTGTATATTGTAAAACCAAGTCAGTGACAGCACAGGTTAGCGACAGAGTAAAACTCTATTCACACTCAGAAGTCAGTGACAACACACCTTAACCCCATACCCCTTCAAGCCTCTGGTTTAGTTACTAGAACTTTCTTTTCCTGATGGTTTCACTCCAGTTATGTTCCTATTGATACAACACAAATGTCTTGCCAAAGAAGTCAGATTTCCATTTTAATTCATTAAACCCTCATGTTACAACAACAAGCTTGGCCCCTGCTAGTCAAAAAACATTGCAAGATCATTACTTCACAGTAATCTCAGATAGGATACTTTGATGCCAATAGCATCCCATGGAAACTCGATTTTAATAAGCCTGCATTTAATGTGTGGCTTCCTAGGAAATCAATTTCCTGTAAAGTGTCCAGACAGATGTTAGTTTTAAGAGTCTGAGGAGACAGTTTCTCTCTGTCTACTCTATCAAAACCTCTCACAACCTTGAACACCTCCACTAAATCTCTTGATTGGTATGAATGACACAGCTCCCGTTAGACTATGTCTATCAGATTAACTTTCCTGTCAGACTGTAGCTGATCTATATAGACCCTTTTACAGATAATATCATTTGCCATTTTATTACGTAATTGACCTTCAGACACCAGTATCCTCTTAATATCTGTTTGTGCAGCCTGCTCATCCAAAGCCGTACTGAACTTTTAGTTTATACTAATGACCTGGACTTTTGTGGAGTCCTGTAGCTCAGTGGTTAGAGCACTTGCCTTGCAGGAAAGAGACTTGAGTTTGATTCCCGGCACGGAGATACCTTGGGCAAGTTTCCTTATTTCACACACCTGATAATAATCCTTCAAGAGAAAAAAACAATAAATAAAATTGGTCACTTTAATCCATGACTGTTTGTGGAACACTGCTGTGGGCAATTGGCTGCCGCATTTCTCCCACAAATCTACAGTAAATTCACTTTACAGTCTATTCTGTGAAGAGTTTGAGATGTGTAGAAGACGTGAAAAGCGCTATATCAAATGCGAGGATTATTATTATTATTCCGTACAGAAAGCAGAATTTCAAATTTCACAGTTGACACAAAACTTGGAAATTTGGTGAACAATGAGGAGGATAGTAGCAGACTGCAGGAGGAAATGAGCAGACGTGGCAGATGGAATTTAATGCAGAGAAGTGTGAAGTAATGCATTTTTGGAGGAAGAATGAGGAGAAGCAATATAAGACAAATGGTACAATTTTAAAGGGGGTATAGGAACAGAGAGTCCTGGGGATTCACATACACAAATCTTTGAAGGTGGCAGGACAAGTTGACAAAGCAGTTAAAAAGCATTTGGGATCCTTAGCTTTCTAAATAGAGGCATACAACAACAACAACAAGATTTCATTTATAGAGCGCCCTTCACGTCGGGAGGACGTCCCAAGGCCCTGGACAGTTGGGTCAGGACCCGAGCGGGGGGGAAATGGTCAGGGTGAGGGGAGGGAGCGAGGAGGGGGTAGAGAGTCGAGAGGGGAGCTGAAGGCACGGTCAAAGAGAAAAGTCTTGAGACCGGCCTTGAAGGAGGAAAGGGAGGAGGCGGCGAAGGCACTGAGGGCTAGAGTTCCAGAGCCTCGGGGCTGAGAGGCTGAAGGCCCGGCCACCGATGGTAGGGCGGTTGGGGCGGGGGATGTGGAGCAGACCGGAGCCAGAGGAACGGAGGGTACGGGCAGGTAAGTAGGGGGATAGTAGGTCAGAGAGGAATGGCCTTGTAGGTGAGGATGAGGATCTTGAATTCGATTCTCTGGGGGATGGGGAGCCAGTGGAGGCGAGCGAGGGTGGGAGTGATGTGGTCGCGAAGCCTGGTGCGGGACAGTACACGAGCTGCAGAGTTCTGAATGACCTGCAGTGTGGAGGGAGGTGCCAGGAAGGCCGGCGAGGAGAGAGTTCCCATAGTCCAGCCTTGAGGTGATAAAGGCGTGGACCAGAGTTTCAGCAGCGTGAGGGGTGAGGTAGTGCCGTAGTCTGGCGATGTTTCGGAGGTGATGGAAGGCGGTGCCAGTTGTGGTGCGGATATGAGGGAGAAAGGACAGCTCAGGGTCGAACTGTCCCCGAAGTTCCTGACTGGCTTTGAGAGGTGGAGAGTGCAGCCTTGGATGCTGATGCTGTCAGCGCCTGAGGTGCGGAGGCGCTGACATGAGCCAATCAGGAGGGCCTCAGTTTTGCGCACGTTGAGCTGAAGAAAGTTGTCTCTCGTCCAGGACTCGATGTCGGACAGGCAGCTGTCAGGACATCGGTGGTCGTGGAGTTGAGGGTAGAGGAGGAAAGGTAGAGTTGGGTGTCATCCGCATACATGTGGAAGTTAACCCCATGTCTGCGGATGATGTCACCACAGGGGGAGCGTATAGAGGGTGAAGAGGAGGGGACCGAGGACAGAGCCCTGAGGGACACCGCACGAGACAGTGCGGGGGCTGGAGGAAAAGCCGTTTGTGGAAACAAAATGAAGACGATGGAAGAGGTAGGACTTAAACCACTCAAGGACAGGGCCTTGAAGGTTGAGGTGGGAGGACAAGCGGAGGAGGAGGATAGCGTGGTCGACCAACTCTGGGCACCAAACATCAGGAAGGATGTCAGGGCCTTGGAGATGGTGCAGAGAAGATTTACAAGAATTATACCAGAGATGAGGGACAACAGTTATGTGGAGAGATGAGAGGCTGGACTTATTCTCCTTAGAGCAGAGAGAGTTGAGGGGAGATTTAGTAAAGGTGTTCAAGGTTATAAGGGATTTTGATAGGGAGAAACTGTTTCCTCTGGCCGGTGGGTCAGTAATGACAGGACACAGATTTAAGATAGTTGACAAACAAACCAGATGGGAGACAAGGAGAGGTTTTTTCCCCCCAAGGATCGTTACGGTCTGGACTGCACTGCTTGGAAGGGTGGTAGAAGCAGATTCCACAATAGCTTTCAGAAGGGGATTAGATAGGTACTTACAAAGGAAGAATTTTCAGGAAATCTGGGCAAGAACATCAGAGTGGGACAAGTTGGTAGTTCTTTCAAAGAGTCGGCAAAGGCAGGATGGCTGAATGGCCTCCTTCTGTGCTGCAGATTTCTATCATTCTAACTACTGCCCACAAGCAAATGACTTTTCTAAGCGCCTTTAATTTGTAGCTTGCTTCGAATTGCAGTTTTGCTGGCACTCCAAGACTGTTACCAGACTTTTACTGATTACCATCTGAAGTCTTATGTTTTGCGGCTTCCAAGAGCAGAAAACTATGAAATAAATAGGGGAAAAAATTGGGCTGCGGGTCACAGCTGATGTGTTGGGCATGTGGAAACTGGCATTGTCGTGTGTACTTCCCTGGAGCTTTGAGCCCCGCTTGCCTCATTTAACCTCTGGCTGTGACTGTGTTTAATAGCTTAAAGCAGGGATGGTCCAACCTTTTGGCTGCCGCGGACCTCATTCCCTATTTGAGAAAGGTCCGCGGGCGCGTGGGTCAGATGGCGGCCCGCAGGTCACATCCGGCCCGAGATCATTTCCACCATTCCAACCTGCTCCCTCCCTCCCTGGTGAATGTCCTCCCAGAACAGCAGCAGGAGCCGGTGGATGGGAGGACCCAGCGAGCAGAGCCTTTACTGTAATCTGCGTCTCTTACCAACCGCGTCCTTAGCAATCAAGCCACTGCGGATAGTGACCCGCACTTGGGAGAGATGTTGGGAGAGAGAGGGGGGAAGAGAGAGGGAGAGCGAGAGAGGGGGGAAGAGGGGAGAGACAAGAGGGGTGAGAGAAGAGGGGAGAGGGGGCAGGACTCTCTCTCTCTCTCCCCCTCTCTCGCAGGCACTCTCTTCTCACACTCACACTCTCTCTCAATTACACTCTCACACTCTCTCTTCCCGCTCACAGTCCACCTCCCCACTCTCAATCTTTCTCTCACACAGACACCCTCTCTCAATCTCCCACCTCTGTTTTTTCTCTCCCTTTTCCCTCACATTCACTCATTCCCTACCATCTCACATTCTCTCTCTGCCCCTCACACTTTCCCCTCTCACACTCTCCTGCTCTCTCTCTCTGCTCTCCCTATCAATCACTCGCTCAGAAGTCTCTCTCACTTCCCCTTTCATACTTCTCACACATACATTCGCCTCTCCGCCCTCCCCTTCTTTCTTTTCTCTCCGTCTCTCCCCCACCCTCTCTCCCCCGTCTCTCTCTCCCCACTCTCTTTCTCTCTC